TAGTACGTACGTAGTAGTACGTACTACGTAGTACGTACTAGTACGTACGTACGTACGTAGTAGTGTACGTAGTAGTAGTAGTAGAGTAGTGAGAGAGTAGAGAGAGAGAGAGAGAGAGAGAGAGAGAGAGAGAGAGAGAGAGAGAGAGAGAGAGAGAGAGCTTTGATTTTCCCTCTAACCCTGATCTCCCTCTCAAAAATTGAACAGAACATCATGGCAAAGGAAACCCAGCTCCACATGGCCCAGAAGGAGCTAAACCGGCTTAAGGACCACCTAAGAAATGCCGAAACCGTCAAAGCCCAAGCCCTAACTGAGCTTGAAAAGGCCAAAAGAACCATCGATGACTTAACCCAACAGCTCAAATCCATAAACTCTTCAAAAGAATCAGCCCTCAAAGCAGCAGAGGCAGCAATCACACAAGCTGAGCGCTCTGAACCCTCCACCCCAAGAACACCCACTAGCCCAAACGCTTCATGGCAGCTTGAGCTTAGCCAAGCTCGAGAGCAATACACAATAGTCATGGCCGAGCTTGATTCAGCTAAGCAAGACCTAAGGCTCATGCGTCAGGAAATAGCTGCCTCCTCTGATGCAAAGCAAGCAGCTCTTCTACAAGCTTCTGATGCTCTTCGCACTTCCGAGATTAATAGCATTAGAGCAAGTGAGCTTTCTAGAGAGATAAACAATGCTAGTGAGTCATTGATGCACGTGAAGCAAGCCTCTGAGCAGGCTCGGAAGGAGCACGATGATCTCATTGCCGTTAAAGATGAAGGTGCAGAAATTTCCAGGCTTGCATTAGAGGGGATTCGCCGGAAAATCGACGATGTACACAAAACTTCTGGCGAAAAACCCGCTGGAAATGATTATCCAGCCGAGCTAGCAGCCATGAATGCTGAAATCGAGAAAATACATGAGGAGATAAAGGCTTCAAAGGCATCTGAAATGGATTCTCTGAGATTTGTGACAACAGAGCTTGATGGGGCCAAAGAGACACTTCAAAAGGTGGCTGATGAAGAGAAATCCATGGAAGTTGCAGTGGAAGCTTTGAAGCATGAGCTCGAGAGGACAAAGAAAGAGCATAAGGAACTTGTAGAGAGAGAAAATGAACTCGAATTGATCGCTGCTAGGCTTAACGAGGAACTTCAAAGGGCCAAGGCTGAGCTTAATGCATGGACCGAGCGCGAGGCTAGGGCTAAGGGTGGGTGCGATGAGCTTGACTCAGCCCTTAAGCAGCTGGAGCTTGAGACCCAAGAGGCTCGGGCAGAGGCCGAGGCCTCAAGGCTTAGTGCCGAGAACTTGCGCAATGAGGCTGATGCCAGTAAACTTGCCCTAATCGAGAAAGAAGCCCAATTACAACAGGCCCTAGTAGATGCAGAAGAAGCCAAAAGGGCTGAGGCTGCTGCCCACGAAGAAATCAGTGCTTTTTCTGAGAGGGCTTCGGCCTCTCGAGCCTCAACATCTGAGGCCATGGGAGCTGAGATTAGGCTTTCAAAAGAGGAGTTTGAATCTTTAGGGCACAAGACAGAGGAGGCTGAGAGGCTCGCTGATATGAAGGTGGCAGCCGCCGAGGCTCAAGTGGAGGCTGTTAAGGCAAGTGAGAAGGAGGCTTTGAAGAGGCTCGAAGGAGTGCGAAAAGAAATTGAAGAAGTTGGGGCTGCCATCAAAGAGGCGACAAAGAGAGCTGAAATGGCTGAGGCAGCAAGGAGAGCGGTTGAGGGAGAGCTCAAAAGGAGGAGGGAGGCTGAAGCTGCTCAAATTTCGGCCACTAAACCCCAAATACCGGCGAATGTGGGTCAGTTTCCAGCACCCCAAACTCAAATTCCGGTGACTATTCCTCGAGTACCAGTGACTGAAAGTCGGATTCCAGCTGGTGGGGAGAGGACCCAATGGCCAGAAAAGTGGGAAAATGATCGGAAAATGGAGAGGTCGGCTTCGGGCTTGAAGAAGAAGAAGGCTATGTTACCTAGTTTGAGTGGGATATTTTATAGGAAGAAGAATCCAGTGGAGGGGGGTTCGCCTTCTTATCTTCCTGGTGAGAAAGCAGGGTGATTTGGTGTGTTTTTGCGTTTGTAAGCTCGAATGATTATATCTGTTCTTTATCCATGTATTTTGTTCTTCGTTTTTTCCCTTTTTCTCTATTTTCTCTCTTTTATGTTGTATTTTTGGAGTTTGGAGATTTGGGGTTGTGTATATTTGCAGTTATGGTGCTGCAACAAGAAGAGGTGCAGAGGTGATGGAGTGAAAATCTTGGGTCCTTTGATTGAAAGTGTATCTAATGAGAGGAGTTATCGTCATACGTGTCTTTGGCTAGGTGGATTATACTCTTTCTCCGTCAGTTTCCATGCATTGCATGCATTGCAGTGTTTTAAAAATCGCCAAATCGACTGAACCAGCTCCAAAGTGCCCGAGCCGGTTTCAAATCAGCAGATGGGTCCAAGTACCCCCTGATATAGGGAAGATTCTCTTTTTTTTTTGTCTTTTTTTTTTCAAAATAAAAAATAAATCCAATCTCCCCCAGTTTGAACCATTTCTTGTCATTTTGTCACAGATTAAAACGATTTTTTTGGTGAGGTCGTCACTTTAAAGCTCCGAACCTCAAATCTGAAAAGGGGCTGGGGTTGTGATGGTAGCATCCCCATATGTTAGTCATCACGCTGTGGTTTTTATTTCGACTTTTTTTATTTTTTTTCATTTTCCCTTTTTTTTATGAAATATGTTTTAAGCACTATATGCAAAACTGCCCCGGTAGAACCGGATCCAGCCAAGTTATCTAGCCCATTAGTCAATTTTGGTGGTAAAGCGAGTGGTTTCAGAAAAATTCAAAAATAATTATTAAAAATTCGAAACTAAGAAATTGATTTGTAACCTTTTTTTTATGATTTTTAACATTTTGACAAAGATTGGAAAGTGTTTTGAGTATAAATACTTATTTTTACATTTTCTCTTCTTTTTTGAATTATTTTTAAAATGCCCCCGGTCACATATTGATTTTTTAAAACATATTTTTTCACTACATTTTAACCTCATGTTGAACTATAAATTTAAACATAATTGTCATACTTTTAAGAGATTTTTTGTATTTTCTATTTTTTAACAATTTTTTGGCCTGGTCAGGACCTGCCCGACCCAGGTTGGGTGCCGTTCCTAGTTTTCCTGCACTGGTTTTAAGTACTTATTTTAAAGGCCTCTAACAAATATATATTTGGAATTGTCCGATTGAAGGACATGTTGAAGAGATCAATAACTAAAAAATTTGGGCTTTTTTGGACATTAAGCCCAGATATGTTGGTTTCTGATTGTTTAAGGTAAGTACCTGGTATAAATTGTACGCCCTAGTATAAGTTGCCTTACCATAAAATCAAATCCAATTAATTGCCAGTTACCCAAAAAAACAAAAACAACTGCCATATATTTAAAGCCAAAAGATATTCTCTCATGGGAGTATACCATCCGTTTACTCCCCTAGGTAAAGCTTATAGTACTTTTTGGACCCCAAATTTTGGGGATGTAATGCCTTAAAGTTTTAGCCGGAACGGTTAACTTGACATGGGACGTGGGCCCGGAAGCGGTTTAACCGGCTTAACCGGTAAATTGGTCGATTCAACCATTCTAATCGGATAAGTCTCGGGCGGTAAAAAAAATGTTGAAATAAATAAATAAATAAAATATGAAAGCATATAAAAAATAATTAAAACAAAATTCATTCAAATGAAGTTGAAAATTAATGAAAAAAAATAGATTTTAACCGATCGATTTGTGACTAGGGGCATTTTTAAATTTTTTTGAAAAAAATATAAAAGTGAGTATTAATGACCAAAATAATTTTTAATCTTTACCGTAACATAAAGAATATTATAAAATGCATTACAAACCTAATTCATTATTTTGGAGAAATTTATATATATATTTTTTATTTTTTTTAAATACTGGTCGATCACCAAAACACCCAAAACTGGAACCGGCTAGTGGTCAGTTCCGATCTAATCGGGTGATTCGCTATTAGATCGTCCGATTATTCCAACAGTGCCTTCAACCAAGAGTTTATCCCAACAATAAAAAAAAACTTGGGCAAGCCAATTCAGACTTGCTCGAGTAACTTTGCCACTCTAACGAGGCGAAGTATCCTCGAGTTGGATGGGCAACTAGGGGATTTAAAAAAAATATATAAAACTTATAAAAAGTCTAAAAATAATAATTTATTTGTAATATTTATTTTTATTAGAAATGACCTTGCGAGACCCTCTCATACCCATATGTGTAGGACCTTAAAGGATCACCATTAAATTTGACACATATCTTTAGAAAAGTCAAATCACACTATGTCATAACTTTTCTAGAGATTGTGCTAAATTTAATGATGATCATTTGATGTCCTATACAATGGATGTGGAAGGGTCTCGCACAATCATTACTTTTTATTTATTTCTTTTATGTTTTGTATAATTTTGGTAAGGATTGGAAAATATTTTTATCATGAATACTTATTTTTACATTTTTCCTTTTTTTTTTGGATTATTTTTAAAAAGCCCCTATTACAAATTGTTTTTTTTTTCAAAAATCATTTTTTCATTACTGTTTTAACCTTATTTAGGTATGTTTGATTTAATTTTACTTTAAACATATTCTACCTATTTTTTAGGATTTTTTTTGCCAGGCCAAGACCCAACTTGACTCGAGCCAAGTAGCTCGGACTCAGCCCAAGCCTGGGCAAAGTCTCGTCCCCGATTCGTGGCTTTGAACACTGGTTTAACCTCATAAGAAAAGAACTTTTTGAATGGAACACTCTATATATTAAAAAAAATAATGTCTCAAAATTAAATAGAGACCGGCCAATTTTTGAAAGGAGAGATCTAAGCATAAAAAATAAAAAATAATTTTTTTTTTTTAAAATAATCATATAGTGATTCTTAGGTGGTTCCCAAAAATGTTGGAATGAAAAAATCCTCCCAAATAAGTTTTTATTACATGCACAATATGCTCTAACGGGAGCATAACATGTACTCATATTGGATTAAAAAAAATAATGTGCGCTCATATCTAAAAAAGTCACCGGTTTGGAAGAGAGTATCCCAGGCTTGCTTGCTTTGGACCACGCTTATCACTGGCGTCACGACACAAGCACCTTAAGAGAGTGACAGTATATATATATATATAGGATAAGTTACATATTAACAAGGAAAAAGGGTTTAATAGGGATCCAAGTAAATCCTCGCCTTATAATTTATCGGAAATTGCAACTCAAGTATCGGAAAACTTTTATATCGATCATCTCGGATTGAATACTATAGTTGTGAAAAAAAATTCTGGATTTTAAGCTTTAGAAATAATATATATTGTAACTTATTATCTAGACCATGTATTTCACTTTAAAAATAATATATATTGTAACTTATTATCTAGACCATGTATTTCACTTTAAAAATAAGTGTTGTTAGTGCGACAAGATCTGCACTATTTTTTTAGTTTCAAATTTTATTGTGAGTGTTGAAAATTGATGTTAGAACCATATGAAGAGATGGGGCTTTATTTTGTTTCCACATAATCTAAGCCTTATAGAAACTTCATATTTAGAAAAATGAAAACTCAATATCTATAGGTTTCTTGAAGGGATGACTGGGCCACCCCAACTTTGAACATTTCAAACATCAGTCCCATTCCTTAACTATTCCATACCAAGAAAAGGGTCCACAACAAAATCAAACATACGAGGGCGACAAGAAAGGACTGCATACGTATTAGAGAGAGAGAGAGAGAGAGAGAGAGAGAGAGAGAAGGTGGGTTGCTTGGTAAAATTATATACAATGATTTGAGATATTTTAACAAGTTGGAAAACGATAGCCTCCAACACGTGCCCTATGTACCCCATTTTCTCTTTCCACTTGAATAAGTAATGTCTTTTTTTTATAACAAATATTCACAAACTTTTATTCATCAATGGAGGGAATACATAGAGTCATTTACATTTAGGAAAAAATTTATATAGAATCAAATTAGAGCTTCCCTCAAAAATTTAACTAAAAGTGGTTGTTTTGATGCCCAAATATCTTGAAATTGATCATCTCGGCATTAAGATGCATGGAAATGAGAAAAAAAAAATAGATTTTAAGTTTTGAAAATAATACATCTTGTAACGTATTTTTGGACTCTCAATTTTCAAGGTTTCATAGATATGCTCGATCTACACTCTTTTTTAAGCTTTAAATTTTATAATTAAAGGTGAAAATATATTATAAGGCTATCGTATAGATTTCCAGTGCTGAAACCACATTTCTCGACACTCTTTGAAGGTGCGTTTTATTTTGATTGTTTAGAGCCTCGGCTTTATGCAAACCGCACCTTTTACATTATTGAAGATTCTAGTCACCGAAAAGAAAACCCATTTTTTTGCCAAAAGATCGGCAACCTAATTTGCCAGAAGATTCGAGTCATTTTGTACGCCTACTAGCTGACTGCTACAGTAAAAGCCAATGGCCCAGATTGAATCTGGGTCGATTTGGCGGTCAGGACTTCTTTTCGTATTTGAATTTTAATTTTTTTCTATAAATTAAAATTACTTGAAATGTTAGGTATATATTTTTCTCATCAAGGCGTACGTATAAAAATATAAAAAAATAACCAAAATACCCTCGAAACTTTACAAGGGTATTTTGGTCAATTTTTTCATGTAAAATATTTTTTTATATATTTTTAGAAGGTTCACTAATTTTTTATGTACACACGCTTCAAATTTCAGATCAATCCGATTCGAAAACTGGCCAAAAACCACTTTCGATCAATAAATAGGTGTTTTTATTGTAGCAAAACGACGTTTTTACTATAACAAAATGCCATTTTACTATAGTAAAACATCGATTCTCTTTCAGACCTGAATTATTTCCTATATACTGATAGAATCGACATGAGATGACTGAAAGAAAGACACATGTGATCTAACCATAGTATATAATAATTTTTTCTTTCTTTTTCAATTCTTTTTTTTTCTCTTCACGATCTAGATCACTAACAATACGTTTTTTTACAATATAACAACTTCAAAGAAAATAAAAATAAAAGAATACCATAGGATTTCAAGAACTTGAAGCCATTAAAAACCACTATTTTCATTAACAAAAGAAAAGACGAAACCTATGCTTGGAAATAAAAGATATAATAAATATAATATGGAAGAAACAAAAGAGGGTGTCGGAGATTACCTTTACCATACTTCTTACACGCCACATCGATTCACCACCGCTCGATGACGGTGGATCTAATGGTCAACCTTCAATTAAAACAGGGAAAGTAAGTTTGGACAAGCTACACTAATGGAACATGAATCCCTTTGATGACAAAACTCAAGCCCTAGGTGAATCCCCTTAGCAACTTAGTTTGAGATAGATGATTTTCTTTTCTACCACAAGTCTAAGGCCCAAAGAAAGACAAGAGATCTTGAGAGAGATGACAACTCTTAATAGCTTAAACCCCTTAGGTTATTTCACAATGTGGGAGACATAAATCTCAAAGATGAGAGAGTGGGGCGTGCCTCTTTTGGTAAGTTAAGAGAGAGATAGAAAGATAAGGTGTAGAGATTTTGAGTAGCGACAATATCTTTTTATAGTGTTTGATAAAGACTAGGGTTTCTTAAGATTTTCTTTGGCTTGCCACTCATGTAAGATCGAATATGCATTATTGATTTTAAGTGACTTGTGGGTGACATATTTAAGCTCTTCATCCCATAGATGGGCCATCAACATCAAATGGAAGCTGTAAGATCATTATCCATTACTTCTTAAACCATTTTTTCATCAATTAAATCAAATAAAAAATTAATATATCATAATATTATTCTTTCTTATTTTGTGCACAATCATTCTCATGCATACCAAAATATCATCAAAGTTTCCTCAAGGCTCAAACTCAAACTTATATCTCAAGCTTAAAACTTGATCTCCACAAAATAGAATGTTTCTCTAGGTGGGGTGTACCACCTATTTAAGCACATAATGGGCCCATCAAATATGCAATAGTGGCCCAAAGATTTATTGGGCCTTTCATGTAATTTAAGTTATTTTTATATTTTAAAAAATATATAAAATTATTAATTGAATTTTAAATCATCATAAAATCAATATCTCTGTTTTTATAAATCTAATTTTGATAAATAAAATATCTAGAGATTAAAAAAAATTCAAATAACCATTCTAAAAACAATATATTTTTAAAATAAACAAAATAAAAAAAAACTTTGATGGGAAAATGATCTATATAGTATAAGAATAAATATCCGCTAGGGCACTCCATGTCCAACCGCGAACTACAAACTATACATGCTTTCTCAAATTGACTCAGCGTTACCCATGACCCACAGTCCATACAGGAGATTATTAGTTGGTCACTAAAGTCTAGCCAATGGGCAAGGGGTCGTAGTCTCAACATATGGATTTCAAGTCCCCTACTTGATTCAATCTATAGCTCAATGGTACACATGAGATATCTCTCGTACATGCATACGCTTCACCCTGAAAGGTGATTTGCTTTCTCGAAAACGACTATCGATGTGTATGTTGTATGATGGTACAAATGATGAGGCTTTAGCTCCGTCTCTAAAGGCTTCCATCACACACAAGGGTTACACAGTCCCTCGGCTCTCATCCGGGCATATTCCAACTTCATTAAGCGCTAACACACTAAATTCTTATCGATTTTATCTCTATGCCTAGATATATTGGGTTTTTTCTAACCAGATTGACCAAACATATTAAGCACAATCCAATATTAACAAATATTATTTATTTAGGTCCACAAAGGATCGTACTCCCACTAAATTCATGTTTCACTATATATTTTCATCAGACAAGCGCTCCTTAGAGCTTTTATTTACCTATTCCTAAATTAGACCTGGTAGAGCTTTTATTTACCTATTCCTAAATTAGACCCGGCAATGCGGTGCCGACCCAACAATTTTTAAATTAGTGATGCGGCACATAGTTATGGACTTATGGGTAAACGCTCCGTTCCAACAATCTAGGTTTTAACAGGTGAGGTAAAAAGACCCCCTTTCAGGCCACTACAATAAACTCACTAAGTCACAATACAACATTACTCACACCTAAATCTCAATTTCAATTCAATTCCCTTCTGTATCGCACTCCTTTACGCTTCCATCTTTCTCTCCATCCATGGCTGCAAGGGACGACCCTATTTCACATTTCACCCCTTCCTCAAGCCCTATAGTGTTAGATTCCGGCGTGCTCTCGCCGGATTCCGGCCAGAACTTGGGCGGAAGCTTGCCGAACGATGGGGTTTTGGCCGGAGAAAACGGAAACGACAGCGAGTATGGGTTTTTCCGGCCTGAATTTCGGCAAAACCCACTGGTCGGGACTATTGATTTCTACGAGAGACACGTTTTCCTTTGCTATAAGGGGCCACACGTGTGGCCTGCACATATTGTAGCTGCTGAGTTTGATAGGGTTCCTAGGCTTCTTGCTGCTGCTTTAGCTGCCAAGAAAACAGAGGTCAAGAGAAAGGTTAGGGTTTCTTTCCCTTTTTTTGATTTGACTTTTTGTGTTTTTTTTTTCTTGTGTTTTTTTTTGTTCTTTTCTTTTTTAGATGAAACGTTGAGAGAAATATTAGCTTTGATTTCAAACATTTTTTTGGGTTGTTTTTACCTCTTTTTGGAGGTTTTGGATTTTGTCCTGTGGTTTTTGTTTTTGACTTTTTTTTTTTGTTTTCTTTTGTGGCCAATATGGATTGTAATATTCAGGTTTCTTTCCATTTTATTTCAGTGTTATGTATAATTTTTTAGCATTTTTTGAAAATTTTATGTATTTTTTCTTTTTAATTGATTTTGGGGAAACTAGTGAAGTAATCCTGATTCAAGGATCGTCTTATGGTGTTCTTTGTTAATTGATTTCCTGTGTGTGCGTGTGTATTTAGATTTTTAGGGCATTGTTGACTTGGCCTGATGCAGCTATTGTTGATGTTAAAAATGATTGATTGGTGATCATGAAAAATTATGTTTCTTGGCTCTTTTTTTTTGTTTGGTAAATGACTGAAAACCTTATTCCTTGATGCTACAAAAACTGAAAAACTGATTCTTTGATGATTTATTCTCTCATTTTATGATTATGTCCTTACTAATTTTGGCACTTACTTGATTCTTTATTTGCTGTGTTGATTTATGTATGGGTGCGGTTTGTATAGAGCCGAGGCTCTAAATAATCAAAGTAAAGCTCGCCTTAAAATAGTTTTGAGAAATGCGGTTTCAATACTGAAAATCTTTGTGATAGCTTTAAAATATATTTTCATCTTTAATTATAAAATTTAAAGCTTAAAAAATAGTCTAGATCGAGTAGATCTATGAAAACTTGAAAATCTTGAAAATTGACGGTCCAAAAATGCATTACAATATGCACTATTTTCAAAACTTAAAATCCTTTTTTTTCTCATCCGTGCATCTTGATGTCGAGATGATCAATTTGAGGATATTTGGGCATCAAAACAACCTTTTCTAGTAAAATTTTTGAGGTGGGTTCTAATTTGATTGTTTTGAGCCTCGGCTCTATATAAACTTTTTCGTTCATGTATTATGTATTGGTTATAACTTGAATTATTTATTTATTGTTATATCACTGTTTAATTTATTTATCTTTTTTTTTTTCTGGTTCTGTGTTGTTGTTACTTGTTATTTTTAGGTGATGACTGATATGTCTGAACAATTTCTGATTGCTACTGAAGTTATGTTCTGATGCCGAGGGTAGTTGGTGATTCCTTAAATGGTGATGACTATTTAGAACCGAACCTTCGGTTATGATCTCAATATTATTTGCTTAGTGTTGTTATTGTGCATTTTCGTCGTCATCTTCATTACATCATGGTAATATTGTTATAAAAGCCATTGATGACAAACCGCTGCCGCATACCATTGAGACTAGGGCAAGCTTTCTATGCTTCCCCTACCACATAAAACCTGTATACTTCCCTTATCCAACCGTCCATTCTGAATGGAAGGCTAAGATTGCCCCAATCACAATGTCACTTCTCTACACTATTTTATTTTTAATTTTTTTTCTATAAACTATTTTGACACCAAATTTTGGAGGTCCAATCCTCTATTAAACTTGCACTAGCAAAAAATATAAAAAAATATTTTCAACAAAATAAAATGACCAAAATACCCTTAAAGTTTCAAGTGGTATTTTAGTCATTATATTTTATCAAAAATTTATTTTTAATATTTTTTGTAGGTGCACCCCAATGAGAAGATGGCATGTACGAAATTTCATATACATTCAATTTGTATAAAAAAAACTAAAAATAAAATACTTTGAGATCTCGGATCTAAGATTAAACGGTGAGTGGCTCTCTTGATCAAAAGTGGACGGCTGGATGGTAGGGGACGCATATATCTTCTATGCTGTAGGGGAAGTATAGAAACCGTTCCCTTGAGACTAACGGGGAGTTGTATAGGACGCTGTAAGACCTATAATGCTTTATGGGATGGAATGTTGGGCAGTCAAAAAATAACATATCCATAGGAAGACCGTAGCTAAGATGAGGATGTAGAGATGGATGAGTGGCAAAGACAAAGAAAGGCTAGAATTCGGAATGTACACATACGAGGGAACTTAAGTGTGACTTCATTAAGTTATAATATGAGAGAAAGTAGAATTACGTGGGCTGGTCATGTGCAATATAGATCTAATGCATCATTGGCTAGGAGGTACGATTTGGTTTAAGTAAAAGGCTCTAAAGGAAAGGCCTAAAAGGATATGGATCGAAGTAGTGTGAAAAGATAAGGTTATTTTTGGTCTTACTGAGGTTATGATCCTTGATATAGAAGAACGGAAGAACATGACTCATGTAGCCAACCCCAAATAATTGGGATAAAGCTTGGATAATGATGATGACAAAACTAGTGATTCAAGCTCGCCCGAGTCAGTGGGACCCAACGGTATGCATAACTAACCCTAGAAATCAGCCAAGTTTGACTTGTATCTTTTTTATATTAGGGACATGACCGAGTCTGCATCTAACTTGGGCTTCGGACCCTAATAAGTCCAAGTCTGAGACCAAGTTCAGGCTTTTCATCACTGATGAAAACCACATAAAAAAATTTATCAGGGCCACTCTTAGTGATGGCTAACTCATTAAATTGTTTTTGGATTTTCACCGCCTGCATTCGAGATCTTGGAACCTTGTAGTAATGCATCACTTGTTAATCCGATGGTTCCAGTCAACTTGGTGGCTGTGTGGTTACCAACAAAGTTAGTCAGCAATATTCGCTCTTATGAGCATTATGTTTGTTTGTTTATTTCTATAAATCACTGCCATGTTTCGTTGCCTTAAAAGAATCAAGAGAAGTTGGGTTGTAAAGTTTTGTGGTGCCTTGAAATGCTTATCAGAACATAGAAAAGAAACACCTTAACAACGCTTCAATTGTTAATTCTTCTTCGATATATGAACTAACGATATACAGTTAACTTCTATAAAAATTAATAAATAATAATATGAGTAGCCTCTCATTGTTGTTCTTACTTGAGAATTTACACAATAAGGGGAGTGTTCAAATGCCATTTGTTTGGTGATGGGTAGTGTTCAATGCCATGTATTTGGTTGTGGGGGCTTAAGCTTGTTGAGAATAGCTTCCATATTTTGATTTATAGTTCTTGCGTATCCTTAATTTTGTGATTTCACTTTGTTTTGACTTTGAACTGAAGGGTAGGGATTCAATTGTAGAGAGGAGTATTTTCTGGTTTTGAGTTCCACTGTTTTATGTGTTTTTAAATTTTTATGAACAGACTCGCTTAACTATATGCGAGGGGCGTGATGGAACTGAAACATCAAATGGTGATGTTTTGATCTTTCCAGACATGATTAGATACAGGTGTGTGATCGGTTAGACGAATTGTATAATTATCCCCATCATCAGCCACCAAAGTGATAGATGGTGATGGAGTATGGGACTCACCATTGGAAATGTCTTGTTAGTGGGTCTCACTCGTGGCATCAATGTTAATCACTTCAATGGATGGTGATGACCATATGGACTATGTTTTCCCCCTACTGCATAGTCCATTGGATTGTTTTATGTGCTTTACCTTCTGTTTATTGACCGATTACTCCTGTGTCTTTTTCCCCCTTTGAAAGCTTTACCTATCATTGAGTCTTCTAAACTGATAATATTTGCCTGCAAGGATGCAGGAAACTGACTCATTTTGATGTCGACACATTTGTCGAAGAAGTGCTCGTAAAAGAAACAGAATGGCTTCCTGGAACACCTGAAAAATTAAGCAGCTCTTATGTATTTGTATGCGCTCATGGAAGTCGTGATAAGAGATGTGGTGTTTGTGGCCCCCCTCTGGTCAAGAAGTTTAAGGAAGAGATTGAGGCACGTGGCATGAGCAGTCTTGTATCAGTTAGCCCTTGCTCACACATTGGGGGTCATAAATATGCTGGAAACGTAATCATATTTGTTCCAAATAATGCTGGGGAAGTAACAGGTCACTGGTAAGATATTACTAACCTCCTTTCATTTGCTTTTTTGCTTTTTTTAAAGTTATGCTTATTAGTGCTTGGCATAGGTTACATGTAATTTGGTGAGGGCCATATCTTTGACATAGAAGTTGACATTTGTTGGTTAAAAAAATGCAATAAATTTTTGTCCTACTAGTTCATGAACACAGACCAGATCCCTGGTGAGGAGTATCATCTTTTTCATGGGTCTAAGTAAATCTATCTTAAGTTGATATGTAATAGTCATGTATATGGTCATACGTATTCTTTGTTCCTCATTTTATGCATACTGCAATAACTTTTTCTTCAGGACATTCATTGTGAGGTTAACTGGCTTATTTTTCTTTTATTTTTCTTCATTTCCTTTTTCCCAGGTATGGGTATGTTAGTCCAGAAGATGTTCCCATCCTGCTTGATCAGCATATTGGAAAAGGAGAAATAGTAGATCAGCTCTGGAGGTAACAATTTGCTTGCGTCTATTTTTTTTCTCTTTCTGCTCAACCCTTGAACTAGCAGTATTCTTCCATAAAAATGATCATGGGCAGAATCTTGATGTGTTTATGATCTGGTATTGATATCCATTCGTAAACTTGCATGTGACAGAATCGTGACGTGTCAATGATCTAGTATTAGATATCTATTCATAAACGTGCATGTGACATTTTGTCTTATTTATGATATTGCATTATATTAAAATGGTTTTATGAAAGGGTAAAATTGAATGGCCTGCCTTCTATAGCTTCAGTGTTTTAAGAAGTTCTGTGCATTTTCCATGGAGACTTCTAGTATAATTTAACAGTAACCTTCCTTCCTCATCACCCATCAAGTGATAAAAAGTAACATGAGCATTGATACTACTCCCGCCCCTGATATTTTCTATTTAGCCTTATGCATTCTTTATCCATATAGCTATCTTCTCATGGAATAGATGTGAATTAAATCTATTAACAAAAACGTAAAGGCAGATAAAAGGGAAACAAAAGTAAATGGGAAGCACCTATATCTTATAGGTCATGGCTCCCTACTATTGAATTGTCTTTTGCAGGGGTCAGATGGGTCTATCTGCGGAGGATCAGAAAAAAGCCCAAGATCTCAGGCTTCAAATTAACGGCAAGACTGAAACCACAGATGAAATTGAGGGGGAAAATCTAGAGAGAGAAACTAAACCGGAAGAACAAATGAATGGGTCCCAACTCGAACCTGTTGTGGGTTGTTGTCAGGGTGAGGGTAGTGGCTCTTCGTGTTGTCAAGATGTGGGCCAAGAGGAACAGCCCAAAGATCTGAAAGCTGAAGAAGTGGGTCCTACAAAGGTGAAGGCAAACGGTGCGGGTCCTACAAAGGTGAAGGCAAAGGGTGCTTGTTCGAGGAAGATTTGCGTTATGCCATCGTGGTTTGAGAGTTGGGAACGAGAGGACACCTATGCGGTGCTCGCTGTCATTGGGGCAGCAGCTTCTGTTGCCCTCGCTTATCAATGCTACAGGAGGTTGAATTGATGTTGGATGGGTCTTTGTCCCTTCTTTCTTGTTGCCCACATCCTCTCTCTCTCTGTCTTCCCCCCTCCCTCCCCTATCTTTGTCTACTTGTTCATCTTGCCTTCTCTCGCTTGCATTGGTGCCATTTGTGCCCTCTGTCTACGTAAGTATTGTGCCTGTGTATGCTCATGCATGCCTTTTCTTTTTGGTCCATGCGCGTGTTCTCTGTTGCATTCTTACGTGTTTGTTCATTTGCTCCTTTATTTCTTGACATAGCCCATATACCCTGCAATAATATTAGATATCATTACCCCAGATTTCTTGCTTACTAGTGCTGAATTTCCTTTTCTGGCTCCCCCTCTCTGTTCTTGTGGTGGTTTGGGATGTGTAAGTGACTCCATAGTGAAGGATTTGAAGGGAGGGTATGGGGCCATGGAGATTTTGCAAGAAGATCTCACTCTTGGAGTTTTCTGGACATATGTGCAGTTTCAAGAATAAAACAGGTGCATTCATGTAGATCTGCTTTATCATTACGAGTCTATTACTAACTGAATGCTAATCCTAACTTTTTGTTCACTTTTATGAGAAATAGTTTGCCTAGAAATATTTTTTGGATACTTTTCCTTCATTTCATTTGAATTTCCAACTTCTTCTTCATTTTGTTTGTCTTGATTTTTTATTGGAATAAGCAGTTATAAAACCAGACAAAAAGTTGAATCATGGTTTACATGATTCCCTTAGAAAACGCTCTACTAAATGAGCAGAGAGGCACGCTTTCTCTCTCTCTCTCTCTCTCTCTCTCTCAATTTATAGGCCAAGGGAATGAATGGATTGTGTCCAAGCATGCACTAAAGAGAGGATGAAGCCTTCAGAGAAAAGGGAGAGAGAGAGAGGAAGGGAGATGAAGGATTTTGGAATAAATAAAACTCAAGAGGAGCCTCAGATTGTACATGGAGAACGATGTCACAAGACTTTTCATTGCAGAGATTGGGTTCTGCTAATAACACATTCTCAATAGAACTTTCATGGTGTTTTCTTGCAACTTAGTTCGTACATGCGTTTTTCTTTTAGGTTTTTTTGGCCAAGTTTTCAGTTTCGAACTCGAAGTTCTTGTCACGTTTTTTCTTATAAGAAACTGAGTCGGAAGTTGAAGACCTGACCCGGTCATTTGATAAACAAAAAAGAATTTAAGAGTGGGTTGGAGCTTCGTATTCGGATCTAGTCTTCTTTACCCAAAAAAAAAAGTGTTAAAGACCATGTTGGAAGTTGGAGATCTGACCCGATTATTGAAGGGAAAAAAAAAAAACAAATTTTTTAAGACTGGATTGGAGCTTCATGTTCTAACCCAATTCTTTGGTAAAACTCGTGTAGGAAAAGCAGACGGAAGAATAAAAAAACCTGGGTCGGAACTTGGAATTTTGATCGGAGAGTATATCAGAAATATATAAATATGGGAAAAGTTTATATAGAGCCGAGGCTTTAAACCATCGAATTGTAGCCTATATAAAAAATTTCACTAGGAGAGGTTGTTTTGATGCTCAAATATCATTAAATTGATCATTTCGGCATCAAGATGCATGAACATGACAAAAAATTGGATTTCAAATTTTGGAAATAGTGTATTTTGTAAGGTATTTTTTGGCCGTGAATTTTTAACATTTTCAACTTTTCAGAGATCGGTTGATCTACATTATTTTTGAAGTTTTAAACTTTATAGATAAAGATGAAAATATATTTTAAGGCTATGACAAATATTTTCAAAGTTGAAACAACATTTCTCTGACACTATTTGAAGGTAGGCTCTAATTTGATTGTTTAGAGCTTAGGCTCTAGACAAACCGTACCCCTATAAATATACACCGGAGAGTTTGAGGTCAAGCCGCAAGGTGACAGCTACCGTAAACGTCCAACATTCCAGATTGAATTTGGGTCAATTCAATAGTCATAATTGTATTTTGTATTTTAATTTTAATTTATTTTATATAAATTTAAATTACTTAAAATTTGGATCTATTCTTAAAAAATAGGTGAATCAATAAAAATATTTAAAAACTAATTTACAAAAATTAAATTAATCAATATAGAAGTGAGGCGCTCTTCTAAATGTTGTCGGGAGATGTAGTTTTGGTGTTGAAAACTATATGACAACTTGAAAATTTATTTTTATTCTGAGATATTAAATTTAAAATTAAAAAAATGGTACAGATCAAGTATATATATAAATACTCAAATTTTTTTAGGAATAGACATTCCATATAACATTTTACAAGGTACATTATTTTATTTTTCCTTCGTATCCATGTATCTTGATGTTTAGATGATAAAAGGGAGGGTTTTTCAATGTTGAAATCAATATTATCAAATTTCCTTCGGATTTTAGGCATAAACTGAATCGAAGCGAAGTCTGATGCTGCCGTTTCTGTCAGATTCGGGCCGCTTCAGGCTACTTCGGTCAGATTCAGGTCTGCTTGGGGGCTGCTTTGGGTCTACTTCAGCCAGCAAAGAAATAGCTATATAAGATGTTATTATTATGTTTTTTCTATATGTTTTTAAAAAAAGTCTGAAGTCTTCCCGAATCAATCGAAGCATTGAATTGCTTCTCATTAATCAGACAACATTGGACAAAAGTGCTGGGCCAAACCTGACAGGTTAAAGAACCAAATGTTAAATAGGTTAGAATTAGCTAGGCTTTATGATAGTAATTGTGTATATTTATGTGTGTGTTTTGCCTGTTTTGACTTTTGGAGGAGAGACTTCATGAGTTCGAACTGTCGACTTCCTCACTCAAACCACATGTGTACCACTTAGCCGAACCCCAAGCAATATCGCTACTAATGCCAAGGAAAAGGCTGAACTCAACCTGTTAAAGGACCATATACCTTTCAGAAGAAAATCTAATGGAAAAATATAAAGCTATCTTGAATAGTAAATAAAAAATAAAAAAAAAAGGAAAAAAAGCGCTCTTGAAGTGAGCATCAATCCCGATTTATAATTGACCTTATAATTATGAGAAATGTTTCTATACTTCCTCTACTATATAGAAATTCTATATTCCCTCCCATCCAGCCGTTCAATTGAGATCAAATAAGCCATTGATTTGTTTGATATAGATCTGACTTCTTAGTGTATTTTATTTTTAATTTTTAATTTATAAATTATATGAATATAAAATTTGATACGTGCTATCATATCAATAGGGTGCACTTAAAATAAATATAAAAAATATTTATGATAAAAATGACCAAAATACCCTTGAATTTAGGGGTATTTTGATCTTTTTTTTATTGGGAACATTTGTTTTATGTTTTTTTTTGCAGGCGCATATTTACGATAGGAGTGGATGCTCAAAATTTGGTGTCAAAATATTTGGTAAACTTAAAAATTAAAATAGTGTAGAGGTGTGACATTGTAATTGAATCCATCTCAACCGTTCATTCATATCTGATATGGAAAAGTTTATAACTACTGTACATATACATTCCCATAAATATTTGCTAGCATGAATACTCCAACAAACAAAACAAATCAACAAGACGACATAACATAAATATTATGTTTAGCTGAAAAACAACACAGTGTATTGCTTAGAAATATTGCATTAACATGGCCACTCAAACTTGAACAACCTGTAAGGTTCTTAACATGAACCACTCAAAAACATGAAAGCTTACGAGTGTAATGGGGTTCTTAAACATGAACCCTCTGATGACACCCCTCAACATGGTGAGCCTATTTATTAAATTTGGGACTATAAGGAGAAGCTTTATAAAGAAAAAAAAAGGGGGAAAAAAGAGAGGAAGGGAGCATAAAGAAAAGCTGAGAAAAAGAATTAAAATTACAATAAGCATGAGGCGAGAGAGAATTCAGTGGTGAGCACCATTGAGTTCCTCAATGGACTCCATGAGGGCCTCGGATAGGGGGGGAGGCGGGCGGGGGTTTCGGATGCATGCGACTATCTTGCAGATGAAGTCGAAAAACGGCTTGTATCGCACCACGAGGAACCCAATCTGCCCAATGACCCCTCCTGTGAAGGTGGCTATGGCCAAGGGCTCCATGTTAGAGAGAGAGAAGAGAGAGAAAGAGAGGAGAGAGAGAGGAGAGAGAGAGAGAGGAGAGAGAGAGGAGAGAGAGAGAAGAGAGGAGAGAGAGAGAGAGGAGCTGGAGAGAGTGTGTGGGGTGTGAGAATTATATAGAGATGAGGCACCCGGTTTTGTTGGTAGGGAGGTTGATAAAGCAAGGGCTTAGGTTTAGGTGGTTTTTAACGCCAATGGCTTGTAAAGCTCATAACGGATGATTAGAAACGGATTATGCGTTTAAGTGTTAAACGCAACAAATCGTGGCCAAAAAAGATCTAAAATATATTTTAGTTGTTTGTTTTGGTGGTCCGCCATAAACGACATTTGGGTGCCTTGTCACCGTTGGATTGATGGGGCCAGACATTGGGCTCCCGGAACTAGCCGTTCAAAATTTTTGAAGTATTTCCCGAAGGATGAACTTTCCATAAGGCCAAGGATTTACGAAAACAAAATAAAGCCTCACATCAAATCCTTTGGAAAGCACTTTCGGTGACAAAAATCTCTTCCATGGATCCAAAATCAATTCCAACACCGATATATAAATTGCAACTCAAAAAATGGTACAGATCTTACGGATCTATGAATACTTAATTTTAGGGTAAAATGGACGGTCTAGATAATTCGTTCCAACATACACTATTTTTAGAGTTTAAAATCTTTTTTTTCACAACAATAATGTTCAAGCAGGGATGATCTATGTAAAGGTTTTCCAATGCTTGAATTGAAATTTTAGATGAGCTACGAGGCTATTATTATACCATTTTCCCTTCCCAAATGTAGATTAAAATGGGATCCTTGTAACCAAGTCACCACCATCAAATCAATGGGTTAGATGGTGATGGAGAAACCACTTAGTCATCACTGCCAAATCGATAGGTTAAATGGTGATGGAGAGAGTATGGGAGACCCGAGGGCCTAATAAACATGTCGTCGACCTCTCTATTTCTCTCTCACACAAACTCCGGATTGAAACCATCGATTGAACGGTGACGATCCTTAAGATCACACATTGTAACTTTATTTTGGGAGAATCAAAAGATTATATGCCCTTGTTCGAGAATATTGTTTATTTACTCCCTCACGTGAAGCTCAACTGTATTTTCAGAATGTCTAACATTATGTATAAGGCTCTAATTTTATGAGGTTACAAAACCATGTACACATTGTACGAGCTGTTATAAAGACACATAGGATGAATCACCTTCCTGATATGTACATGCAGAAAATGAAAGAAAATATTGCACAAAATATTATATAAAGGTTATGATAAAATCACAGTACCCACGAGCTAAATAGCTTTCATGGCTAGCCTTACATGGAAGGCTTCCCATAACAAAACGTATTGAATCAGCAGCGCATAACTTTATTTTCTCATTGCTCACCATGCCTGTCTCATGAGGAATCTGTTAACCACTTTTTACTAGATTGTATATTATTTAGGAAACAGACATGAGCTTGAGTGGTTTGCAGTGTTTAGCAATGCTATATCTCAAATTTGATTCCTACTATCCAACTAAAATAAAAAAAAAGAAAAAAAGATTGAATCTTCATTAAATATATGTGGCACTTCATATTATTAGAAGTGACACGTCTTTTATGACGGGGAGGACCATGGACCCATGTTCCTAAAATAGAGGAAATTTTGGTTCAAATCAAGAGGAATGACACAGAAATGTAATGTTTTTCTTGGTCACTACATGTTTCATATGGCAAGACAGTAATCATTGGGTGTTAAGAGGGGTGGCATATCTCTGGAGAAGTGATGTTCTGGTGAATTATACACCATGTTAAAAATATAGCTCAAGTGAGGAGGGAGGTTTTAATTGCAGTGAAGAAGCTATCAATGAGAACATTAATCTACAGTGGATGGTTTCTCTAAGTCCAAAAACTGCTACTGTAAGCTAGCTGGTTTCTCCATCAAGCTGGTTGAAGATGAACATATGATGGTACATCCTTTGGCACTGCAGACGGGACAGGTAGTGGGGGAGTCATTTGAAATCGTAATGGCTTCGTTGTGGACGGTTTTGTAGCATGAATTCGGATCGGTTCCAATAGTGCAGCCCCATTTCCATTCCTTGGAAATGAGCCTTCAGTTAGTGAAGGCACTCATTTGCAAACTTGCAAATATATAGAGATCAAGAGTGACCTTTTTTTTTTGACAAGAAGATCAAGAGTGATGGTCTAGACTGCCTGATTTTATTGCTTTATTTATTATTTTAGATGTGGCTAGTATTCTCCATCAATGGGTTTCCCCAATATAAATTTACAAGTCTATATTTAGTAAAAATGTGTAGGAGCTCTTCTTCCCCATTGATTTACTAAAGAACAAATAATTACGTATCATAAGACCCTTTACATTAGGTACGAGAAGGTCACGATCTTCCCCTAGCCGTCAGATCTCAAACCGGACAGCTTGAGTTGTGACATAGAGTTCGAAATTTTTTTTTTGAATTTTGAATCCAATCAATGAAACACCTTTAGATGCTTCATTTCACATCTTATAGCTAACAATGATTGTAACCTTCTTGTATTGAAAAACAAATGACTTTATTGTATACTTTTCTAAAATAGTTAATATGTGGAAAATTCAGTCGCAAAACATGCATTGGATTTCTCTCATGCAATGATAATCATCAAGCCTTAATTTGTCCTTTTATATTAATTTGAAGGATACTTTTTTCGAAGACCAGGGGCATCATTGCAAAGTAAAAGTCCACTTGGAATTAGGAAGTTTTCATCTGTAGTTAGAAGAATAGGGGCATCCTATACATGCTAGTGAATGGAAAAATGCAAAGAACAACACAGTAACAAAATTATAGCGATAATTCTCAGGAAGGTATAGGTAAAGAAAAAGTGACTCAGATCACTCAAGTTTTCAAGTCTCATGATGCTTATTCTAATGAATGTTTGCCAATGACACAAGCACACCTTGTCTATTTATGAAAACTTTTCTAATCAGTTGAGAAGTCCAAATTATATGCTGAAAATGAGAGAGAGAGAGAGAGATATTTCAGCATACAGGCTTACCTTCTTATGCTCAACAGCCTGAAAGGCAAAAGAAGCTTAATGCACCACATGTCAACAGCTACAGTTGGAGATCGTGAAATCAAAGTAGCTCCATATAGCCCTCAATCTGAAGTTCTAAACAATCAGAACTACACAATCAGAACTACAAGAGACCAAGACAGCTCATATAAGAATAATAATTTGGCTCAAGAATTCCAATTCCATAGTTCAACATACACCCAGACCAAAACACTGCTCCACAGCTATCTCTGAGTCTGGGACGGCTAATAAAAAGCTACTTTTAACTAGAACCATTGCTCAGATCCGACCATTATTGGGATAAATCAATGGATGGGATCACCTCAGATCATCAGCTTCTACAACTCTTAAGGGAGCAGGGTCCACATGTAGTTCATGGACCCAACTACCCATTAACCATATTGGGTATTGACTGTAATTGTTAGTATTCAAGAGTTTTAGTCACCACCGATTCTTAGGCCATTGAGTGGTTTAGAAAGAGTGTTTTGGTCTCCAAGCCTGTGAAACTCTGATTCTATGGTTTGGGCAATCTTTGAGCCCTCGGGATTGGGTTCGGGGAAATTGACATGGAAAGAGCCTTGTTTAATTGGTGCGACAGTCTGGAGCATTGAGGACTCCTTTTTGATGAAGTCATAGAGCTTTTGGTGGAAGCCATGGTCTAGAGAGAAGCAGTCATCTGTTTCAGGAATGGAGTGTTTGGATGAGCCAGAGCCTTCTCTTCTTGAGAAGTGAGGGAGGGATGAATAGTCCATGATCTGCATATGCCAGATTGTCAAAACATTCTCAGCCATGGAGAAGAGATGTCTCTTAAGTTTATTGTGTGTGTGTGGTGGGGGGGTGGGGGGGGGGAGGGGTGGGGGTGGCGGGTGCACACGTGTGTGTGTGTGTGTGTGTGTGTGAGAGAGAGAGAGAGAGAGAGAGAGAGAGAGAGAGAGAGAGAGA